AATGCAGGTAGTAGTCACCTATAACAGTCATGTTTTCAAGGTCAAACAGATATTTTAGGTAGACAGGTGGTCTTCAAACACTTCACAGACCTACAAGAATACAACATTTAAGATGTTTTAATAACATACAAATCTTTTTTTTTTTTAATGACAATGAGACATGTCTGCTCCTGGCAGCACCAATCTAATTCAGAGATGATGGCATTGAAGAAACTCAGTATGGAGTTTATTTTTTTGTAGCCACTGGACAAGAAACTGCCCCTGCCTCAACTGCTGATGATATGCTGTCTAAATTGGACAAGCACAACACAAAAGAAAGTGCCAAACTTTGCCAAGAAAAAGCGGGACAGTACTTCAAAAATCTTGTGTCACAAAAAAGTGTCAAATATTCTAGGCTTGCAGGCCGAAGATACATGCCCCAACATTACAGAGAAACCTTGGTGAATGTCCAGGCAGCCAACTATTTCTATCATTTCTTTCTTTCTTTCTTTTTTTTTTTTTTTTGGTTATTCGAGACAGGGTTTCTCTGTAGCTTTGGTGCCCATCCCGGAACTAGCTCTTGTAGACCAGGCTGGCCTCGAACTCCCAGAGATCCGCCTGCCTCTGTCTCTCGAGTGCTGGGATTAAAGGCGTGCGCCACCACTGCCCGGCTTCTATTATTTCTTAAATTTGGGAGTTGATGCTGGGCATTTCTTCTTTACTGGGGTAATATTATATCACTTTCAGGTCTCTGATGTCAAGTTAAAGACTAAACAATTAAGTTTTCATATGGTTGAAAGACATTTAAAAGAAGATAGTTTTGGGTTGGTAATACAAGTTAGGATAGAAAGTGAATTAAGTACAACACTTTGAACTCACCAAGAAAGGATAAAAATGGAGCATTTTCTCTGGATTTGTCAAATGCAAATATACTAGACATGTAAAAGTAATTATTGCCTATATATTTGTATATAGTTACTGTACTTACTATATATAGTTTTAGAATGTTAGCTAAAACCTTCACTTTTTATTTAGACAAAAAGGGGGAAATGTGTGATATTTTGATCGTATTCTGGCAAAAAAAAAAAAAAAAAAAGCTTGCTTGGAGTCAGAGGGCAGAACTAGCCACTAGCTGACCACAGAGGTTCGAAGGACTGTAGAGAGAGGAAACAGGAAGTGGTAAGGCAGGGCTGAGATCCTTTCTGAGACCTCAGAAGAATCCTTTTTGAGAAAGGATCTCAATCTCAGCCCTTTTGGACAGAGGAAAGAAGGAGGTAGGAAGCAACTAGCAGCTGCTCCCTGCTCTCTGATCTTTCAAGTTCTTAACTCAGTATTTTGACTTCTGATTTTTTTCATAAATTAATACCCCCCCACACACACACACAGTTTCCTTAGTCCCGCTATCCACATTTCAAGTACTCAATGGTCACATACGGGTGAAGCTACCACCTCTCCCCCACAGCAGAAAGGTCTACAGCATTTCTATTACTATGGAACATTCCAGTGAACAGTATGCTTTACCCCTGAGAAACTGTGCCAGGAAATAGACAGAAATAGACTGGGAGCTGGGAGCAGCATCCCAAGGCCCTTGCTGTTGCAAACCTGGCTGCATATTTAAGGGTAAAGATGGGGCATGCCTAAAGTCGAAGTGGTTACCTGTCTAAGTGTATAAGCTTCTGTTGCTGAGCAGTCTTTGTGTGGGAGACTACTTGCTCACCCAGGCACTGACTGGGACAGTCAATTACTGCATAAATCCCCCATTCAAAACCATTCCCCAAACTTAACACTTCAGAATTCCCATTTAAGAGAAGCTTCAAGTAAAGAAAACCAGATGTTCTCATGTAACTACAAGCAACACAATGAATATAAGGAAAAGGAACTGCTTGACTTTAAAAAGATTTAACAGTCCAACCACAAGCTAGGGTGAATAGCTCAGGCAACATAAAAACGTACTAGCAGGAAGAATGAGGTCAAGTGTGGAGGTACACGCCTACAACCTTAGCCCTTAGGAGCAGACAGGAGGAGCAGTTCAAGGCTATCCTCGTCACATAGTGAATTTGAAGCGAACATTGGCTACATGAGATCATATCTCAATAAAACAAATAGGGAGGAGAAAGAAAAGAGTACAAGTAGAGGTATAATGAAGGAGAAAGGAAAACAACAGTCCAAAACTCAAATCCCATTAAACAATGGTTCAAGATTCTTTACTTCCTTCCTACCTATCCCCATAAAGTAGCTCTATGGCAATTGCACACAAATGCGTATATTCAACATTTTTAAAAACCTCTATACAATTCTTTTTCTTTTTCGAGTCTCTAATAGCAACTTGGAGAAAAGACATTAGAAGGAAAAGAAGGGCATAGAGGATGTCGACTCAATACAAATAGTTACCTGGGAAGGAGAAACTTAATTTGGGAAACTGACTCATAAGACTGGCCTCTGGGTGTATCTATGGAGCATTTTCTTGACCACTGACTGACTGATTTTGGCCGGCCCAACCCACTGTAGACAGTGCCACTCCTGGACAAGTGGTCCTGAGTTATATAAGAAAGCAAGTTAATGAGGAGATGGCTCAGTGGTTAAGAGCACTGGCTGCAATTCCCAGCACCCACCTGGTGGCTTACAACCATCTGTAAATTGAGTTCCAGGGATCCAATACCCTCTTCTGATCTCCAAAGACAGCAGGCAGGCACACGGTGCACAGACATGCAAACATGCATACATATAAAGTAAAATAAGTTGAAAAGAAAAAAAAAAGGAAAAGGAAGCTGATCAAGACATTAAAAGCAAACCAGTACACAGCATTCCTTTGTGGTTTGAGCTTCAGTTCCTGCCTCCAGGTTCTTGTCCTGACATTTCTTAACAATGGCCCATGACCTCAGAGTTGCAAAATGAAACAGACCCTTTCCTTCCAAAGGTTGGTTTTGGTCAGTGTTATCACAGCAACAAAGAAACTTAACTAGGACACCAAGCATGTAATCCCACTACTGGGGGAATAGGAAACAGACTGGCTCAAAACAAACAACAAAATGATGAGCTCCAAGTTCAGTGAGACTTTGTCTCAAGGGAATGAAGTGGAGCGTGATCGAGGCTCTGCCACCCTATTACACCTATAACTCCCCCTAAAAAAACAGGTTCCATTATAGCACTTCCTTTTTTAAAAAAATATTTTATCATTTTTATTTTATGTGCATTGGTGTTTTTCCCGCATACTTGTCTGTGTGAGGCTATCAGATCCCCCTGGAACTGGAGCTACAGGGAGTTTTGAGCTGCCATGTGGATGCTGGGAACTGAACCTGGATCTTCTGCAAGAACATCCAGTGTTCTAAACCTCTGAGCCATCTCTCCAGCCCCCACCGTTATTTTTGTTAACTCTCCTCTGTTCCTGTACCCATCTGTCTTATTTCTCCCCTCAGTAACCAGTACTCCGTTTTCATGTCACATGTATTCTACTTCTTTTCCCTCCCTGCTAAAACCACTTCTCCATTCACAGTCCCCCTTTTAATTTTGTGACCTACATTCACACAAACACACACTATAAAAATTAGAATCTAAGAGCTGAATGAGAGAAATGTGTAGTATTTGTCTCAATACTGTTTCCTTTCATCTACTTTTTTATAACAGTATTTTCCAATTCATCTACAGATTCAGTGAAATCCCTATCAAAATTTTAATAGTCCTCTTTTTCGCAGAAATGTGTAAGTTTATCATAAATTTCAAATGGAACAAAGAAGTACCTAAAATAGTGAAAACAATCTTGGAAGGAAAATAAGGTATAAATTTTCCAATTTTCTTGTTCATTTTTTTTGGAGGAGAAGCAAGCATACTTGGTGACCAAACATGCTAAAAAGCAAGCACTCTGCCATTCCCAATTTCAAATCTACTACAAAGCTATAGTATCATGATAGTGGAATATTGGATAGAGTCAAGAAATAAGTTCACGCACAGTGGTCAAGTGATTTTCAACAAAATGCCAGAATTCAATGACAGAAGAATGGTCATTTCTAAGTAGGGCAACTGGATAACTGCTCACAAAAAACAGATCTGAATTGCTGTTATTCCGCAAAACAGTCAAAGACAAAAGAACTAAAGTTTTAAAACTCTTTAAGAAAAAGACCACCAAAACCCCACTTTGGATTAGGTGTTTATTACTGTAGGATGTTACCAAAAGAAAAAATAAGATGAATTAGACTTTATCAAGAGCCAACTTTTCCTGGGGTCTATCTCAGTTGGTAGAGTGCTAATCTAGCATACATGATGTCCTGGGTGCCATGTTCAGTATTATGTAAACTAGGCATGGTGGTGTACGTCTGTAATCTCAGCACTAGGGAAGTAGACATCAGGAGTTCAGGATCATCCTTGACTATATGAGCAAGTTTGAAGCTACTTGGGCTACATGAGTTCTTGTTTCAAAAATAAAAAAACACCTTCAGAAAGGTGAAAAGAAATGAAAGAAAATATTTGCAATTCATGTATTTGGTAAGGGGGGCTTACAATTCTTAATATTTTATAATAAAAAGAATAAAATAATTTAACAATGGGCAAAGAACTGGAACAGACACTTCTCCACAAAAGCTATACAAATAGCCAATAAATACATAGATGCTTAATATTATTAGAGATGTACAATATCAGTCAACAGCAATATAGCATTTCACACCCATCGGGATATCTATAGTGATAATAAAGACACCTAAGTATGGTTGGTAAAGATTTTGGGAAATTGGAACCCTAATACATTGCTGGTGGGAATGTAATCCTATGGCAGTTATCCAAAGGTTAAACATGGAGCTAACATGCAATGAGAACTGAAATCCTATGACCATACAAAGACTTGTATGTGACTTTTCTGTGGCAGCATGACACACGGTGAAAAGTTGAAAACAAACCCCATGTTCATCAACTGATAAAAGGTAAGTCCAACACAGCAATAAATTGTTAGGCAGTGAAAATAAAGTGCTAACACATGCAGAAACATAGATGAACCTTAGAAATCAAAAGTGTGTGTGATCCCAACTTACCTGCGTCAATGGCACATGGGTAATGGTATCGGAAGGAGCAGCCTTTGTTGTAGCAGCCCAAGGTAGCGCCAGCCTCCTGGCAGTGGGAGCATTTCTGAAAGGAAGAAATGAGCATGTCAGTAACTCCAGACCTGCCCCTCTCTTGCCAGCTTATCTTTATCTCATCCGTTGGACCTCAGCATGGCCTCTGTGGTTAGAGATATCTGTGGTGGTAGGATAGGTTGGTCCATTTCTCAACCACCACTCATTAACCACACCATGAGAAGAAATCCAGCAGATTGTTTTAAGGCCAGGTCTCATAAATAACTTCAAATCAAACAAAACACACCAAGGCAAGTAAGTGACACTATACACATGGTAGACACACCAGTGTGTGTAGCTACTCTGGTACTACCCTACAGTGGGTATACCAGACCTGCCTGTTTTACCCACTCCTATGATCTACTGGTAAATTCCTGTTATTATACACTGCCTGTAGATCTTGCTTCTATTTCTGCCATAGAAATCTTGTGTAGGTGGGGAGTTAAAGTATACACAGACACAAACACACGCTTTTACAATTTAAAGTAGAATTTGGTTTCTTGTTCTTATATTTTTAAGATTTTATTTTTAATTTTGATCTACTTTATCCCAAATGCCCAATACAAGTATATTTTTCTTTCCATAAAATATGGGTTCCTGTACACAAATGATATTTTTATAAATGAATCCTATTTTAAATGTACTAAGAAACCTGCCATGAATTTCTGGCTAAGCGAGACACTATTCTCTAATTGCAATGCTCCTCCTTATATGGTCAGAAGCAGCGCATATCTCTATTGCCACTTCCATGTGGCTGCTGTAAGTACTCATCCTGCCAATCCCAACAACATCATCAAAATGCAACCACATGTGGCCCTACTGAGGAAAATATGCAGATTAGTTATCCTTCTTGGGTGTGGCTATGACCCATCCAGAAAAGCTAACAGAAGACACAGACACTTGTTCCTGATTCTATGAAAAATAAAGTGTGTGTGTGTCCTTAAACCTTCACATCTGAGCTGGCTAAGCTTCCAGAACACTGGCAGCTGTGGAGCCTAAATGTACACCATGTCTCAGGATGGGATAGTTATGAACATTAACAATGCGTTCACCTGGTAGAACCTGCGCACATCTGCAGGGAGCCAGTACGTGCAGCCGCCATTACAAGATGGCACCTGGCTCCTGCAGGGCTGGAGTAAACAACTCCATATAAGATCTTAGCCAGAATCACTAACTCGAGCATGCTCACTGCAAGGAGCCAGCTTTTGCAGCCGCCATTACAAGATGGCGCAGGGCCCCTGCAGGCTTGGGATAAACAATTCCATATAAGGTCATAGCCAGTACCACCATCTTGGGCATGCTCAGTGTCCTCAGTGTGCCGGACCTATCAGGGAGGTTGGAATGGCTGCTGAGACACTTTGACCAATAGGAGGCCTGCACGTACCCCTAGTCCCTATATAGGCAGTTGCAGCTCAGAGCTCGGGGCCCCTCGCCTCCTGCTCTCCCTTCAACCAAGAGGATTCAATAAAGCGTGATTTGGGAAGAATCCTCATCTGGTGGCTGTTCTTTCCTCCTGGTCAGGGAGTTCAGCGCACACATCCACTGTACAGGTTAAAATGGTAAAGTAGCAGAGGACAGGATCTAGCATTAGGTCAGAGCTAAGAATGTCTCCCAGAGGCAGAAACTTAAGCCTCCCTATCAGAAGACCAAGAGGACCAAGCTCCTTTTAGGTGCAAATAATCACTAAATGTTTACTATGTATCCTTGCGCCGATGAGAAGAAAGCAAAGATCATTTAGCCTAGAGTAAACCAAGGTCAGTTAAGAGCACTCGTAGAACCTCCAGGTGATCTACTGTATATGACTCCTTCAGGATAAAAGGTCATCGCCAAACCAAAGGAACAAGAGTATGGCCAACCTGTCAGTGGAAAACTACCAGCTGTTCCTGCTATCTTACCTTTTTACTCAAGGTACCCAAACACTCATGTATCCAGAGAGTTTGAGTTTCAGGCCCTCTCCATCTTGGAGGACGAATCTCAGTTCATGATAGCCACTGATGAATGAATAAATCAAGTATTTTTCAAAGTCTGCAAGTAAATGTGCTTCTACAACAGTTTTGCCCTTAAATATGGACAAGTTGGAAAACAACAGCATTCTGGAGGCAGAATCAAGCAGATTTCTATGAATTTCATCAGGCCAGCCTGGTCTATGTAGTGAGTTCCAGAACAGATAGGGCTACACAGTGAGACCTGCCCTCAAAACAAAACCAACCAAACAGAAAACCAGACCACCTTGTTCAGCCTCTCTTGAGTACAGGACAACAGGATCTGTGACAACTGCCTAATCACAAGAAGACAATCCTGACAAATCCCACTGTGGGGACAACAGAGTGGAAGAATGAGAGACTTAGACTCTGTCACACTGCTGAGCACTAACTCAACCAACCCAAAGACCAAGGACCATCAATCTCCAGACTTGTGATGGAACAGCACAGACACACTCTTTTCTTTTCAATTAATTTTACAACTTATAGTCAACACATCCTAATTGATACGGAGAAATCTGAGTGGAGTTGGACAAGGAAGGGCTAAGTGTACAGACTTTACAATCTAAATAACTACGTTGTGACTCTTTCACTGCCTAATGATCTCTTACCAGTCAATTTCCTGACCTCTGTTCAGTCCATCTTCACAAAAAATACTAACAGTGCTCACCTCACAGAAACGTTAAGTGTTGAACGCACTAATGCAGAATTGGAACAGTGGTTGGATCAGAGATGCTGTTCTGTCAGCCAAGATAACTGCAGGCCAGAGATACAAGTCCTACTGACCAAAACTTGAACCCATGGAGTGGCCTTGTTACTGCTCACTTTCAGATGAAGACAGTAGACAAGGGCTGGGACATGGACGCCTGTTCCCTTTCTACTTCAACATCAGCTGTGTTGCCCCTCACCAAACCTCTCAAAGCAATCTGATCACAAACAGCCCAGTGCTGTGGGAACTCCTTAAGCCAATAACCTTTAAGATACCAACCTGCTTTGGGCATGGGCTCATGTACTCTAAATGCAGGCAAAAAGTGTGCACTGGTTTCTTGGCTGCTGAATTTGATTCTAGTTCCCAGGGCACACAGAGGACTGCAGATCGCTACTCTGTGAGTTTATAACCAAATAAATAAATCTTTTTTATACTCCATTTCAGGCTATCGTGAAACTTTTGTATGCCAACAAAATGGTGCCCACCATCTGGCATGGGTCTACATAAGACATAAAAAAAGCCTAAGAAAGCTTAAAAAGGAGGGCTTCTAGAGCCACAAAACAGGGAGCAAAGCACAGCTTCTTGATAGCTTCATTTTTTTTTTTTTTTTTTTTCAGATAGGCACTATTTGCTGGCTGCAAGCTTCTTTAAAAGGAGGCTTCCTGGTTTGTGTTAGCATCACGGAATGGCTCTGGCTCTTTTGGGAGGTATTGTTATAGAGCATTTAAATGGGGTTTGTGAGCAGAGGGCAAGTTGCTTAATGGTAACACAGACCCACTGTGTCCCAGAAGCTGGGGCAGTGAGTATGGCTCACAGAGGTAGTGAACAAACCTCTGCCATGTTGGAGTGGGAGGAGTAATAGGCAGGGCCCTGGAGTTGGTCCTAACCACAACCACTTCACACTTAAAAAGAAAAAAAAAAGGCTTTCCTGGTCAGAAAATGATTACAAACATACAATAAAGACAGATTAAGATGAAAAGGACCCCTGAATAGGTCACAGTGTTGGATAAATAAATGTACATAGGCTTGGGAGAGAGAAGAAAAAGAGTATAGACAATCATAAAAAGAAATAGTTTCAAAAAATAAAGTCTTTAAAGAGACCACAACAGTAATATAAAAGAGTACAGCAGTCATAGATTAAAGGAGTAAAGAAAAATAAGTCACACAAAGATGGAATATACATAGAGTCTGAATTACGCATATTGTTTATTTTCTTTGAATTTTTTGATTGCAGAAAAATATTTGCTTCTACGGGCTGCTAAGCTAAACCAATACATAAACACACACACACACACACACACACACACACATTAAAGGTGTCTTGACTTTAAAATTTTGAGTCTAAGGATATGTTATTTTGGAAAAGAGGTTCTGCTTTTGCTTCCACAGAGGATGAGAACCCGTGGATTCCTTCCAGGTGGTTTGATGGAACATAATCCCCGGAAAGTTCTCCAAAAACCCTAGAAATACTTCACCCAACAAAAAGCAGGAAGCAGTTGAGAAAACTACGCCCAAATTCCCAAAATGATTGTTCATAAATGTAAGTTTACATTTAAACGGGGTTGATTATAAGTGATAAATGGTCACAATTTCTTAAAATAATAAATAGATAAATAAATAAAGGAGATATGATAGAGATGAATACTTTGCATTGGTATGGATCTTTGTTATTGATACACATTTAAGGTTGATTTTTGTTATACTGTGCATATTTCTGCCCTTGTTTAAGTGATTGTGTTTGTGCAGCTCATTTAAAATATAATGTATAACTAAAAATTACAGATTAATAGTCATTTATAATAGTCAAGCTTTGTAGTCATGTTTGTTAGGTTTTCTAGGTGTATAGAGAACTGTAGAATATGGCATTTAAATAACTTAGGATTCTGTTGACACGAGACAGGATTGCTCCTGGCAGTACCAATCTAAAACCAAGAGAATGTTGGGCACTGAAGACACTCCACTTGGAGCTTGTTTTCTTCTTGGCAAAACTGGCCGTTGGGCAAAGAACTGTCCCTGCCTTGACCAATGGCCAATGTACTGTGTCCAGACTGGACAAGCAGGATACAAGAAAAAATGACTGCCAAACCTTGCCCAGACAGGGTAAGACAGTTTTTAAAAGTTTCCTGCCTCTGAAAATGGTCTATCACTTACTTACTCTAGGCCTTAGCCAAAGTTGGTTACCCCACTGTTGCAAATGAGACTTTGGGTGATTGCCCCAGTTGTCTGTCATTTCTTGTACCTTTTGGAAGTTGCTTGATTGCACTTCCTGTTTACTCAAGTAATATTATTTCCCTTCTGAGGTCTTCGATTTGGTTAAAGACT